CTTGTGTGTGTTTTTGTTTCACCTTTTTGTTGTGATGCTCCGGACGCCTTCCCAACCTCCACAAGTCCGTTGGCCCCAATTTTATGTGTTAAAACTTCTCTTAATTTCTCCTCTAATTCTCTCCTCGCTGCTGTCTTTTTCACAGCTGCTGATTCGTGCTGGGTGTGGTTCCCATTACCTATAATTTTGCTTCGGCCGCTGTGCTTGTGGGGGCAGTTGGTCCAGGTCCGCAGCTTCCTGTATTAACACACTAAGAGATTTATTTTAATTTCATTTTCATCACTTTTAAACCGATAAGCAGGCAACACGCCTACCTTGACAGCGTAAACTGTACGCCAGTCTCCCAACACATTCCTCTCTCTACTCCTCTATAATTCTCCACTGCACACCTCTTACTATCTCTCCTTTTTATTTTTATTACACCACAGAGTAATACACCCAATTATGCCCGTCTATCTCTATGTGGCTCCAAATTCCCTCTTTATTTTAATTTCACACTCGTCAGGGGACAGGCACACAACAATTTCAACCACTGAAACGAGGAATTCAACCTTTTTATTTCTTTACTAATCTAGACTCAACGTTTGTTCGCAAAATGTGTCTTGTTCTAGTCCGGAAATAAATGTGAACCTGTGATTACACGGCCGTTCCAGTGTTATTTCCGTAGCTATGCGGGGGCCCTCACCTCCCCAAGTCACCACCTCGGCACCCGGACAACGCCGGTCCTGGCCACGCGTCCACGGACAGGAGGGTCGCCACTCCTAGGGCAAAGTTCCACAGGTACACTAGGCATCAACCTTTGATCCTAAAATGTGTATTTGCTCTAATGTCCTCCTAATCAAACACATCAACCGTCACTGTCACTGTGTTCACGCTTCACACTCCACACAAAAAACACTCAGAGCGCGCCTCACTCACACTCTCACTCAGTGCGCGCTTTACCCACAAGACAGCACCCAGAGCGCGCCTCGCAGCTTCACACACACTCTCTCACCCAGAGCGCGCTTTGACACTCACACACAACACTTTTCCTCAGCGGGAATTTTACACAGAAACCTCTGAGCTCAACTATTAGATCTTCTTAAAGCACACTGCACCATAGACCAAAATACCCCTTTCTCTGCGATTATGACCGCCACCACGGGGCAAAGTCGCATCATAAAAGTGATGCTTGCATCCCCAAAGTTATACCTGACATCATAAACCAGGTGTTGCTATGTACTTAAATTTTTACTTTGTATTATGACCGCAGCCCTTTATACTCGACTGACGCCACAAACCACCGTCAAAACCTCTATCAAATGTACTAAAACTAGCACCAACCACTACTGCACTTCACGGCCGCACCACCGGAACACGCCGTATCATAAACCAAACCTACGGACGTGTTTCGCTCTCGCGTTGCCAGCGTCCAACTGCACCGTGAAGCCAGCATCTGCTTGTCCTTAAATCAACTTCTATTTCATAGCCGGCAAAAGCCAGGACATCACTGACACCATAAACAAAATAAACAAACCTCGACTTCAATGTACTGAACTAATGGCCGCGTCTTCAGAATAAATTCTAATGTATTATTGCTACAGAAGCCAGTATTAGACAAAATTAAATGTGGAAGGTAAAGTGGCTGCATCTAGTCCAACGTAGTATGTTATTAGTATCTCGGTAGAAGCAGATTACTGCAACTAGACCAACGTAGTATGTTATTAGTATCTCGGTAGAAGCAGTTTATTTAACACACTGGAATTCAGCCTCAACTTATGTTGTTAGTATCTTGCGCCAAAAACCAGACACCGACAAATTTACTGTGAAAATACATGTGACTCAGCGAACAGATTAATTTGGAAAGCCCAATATGCACATTTGGTATTTATAATACAACAGGCTGTGCTTACCTTTTTATTTTTGGACCGGTCCTCTGTTCACCTCGCCTCACGATCTCACCAAAGGTCAAATCTGCACCTCCTCAGCACACTAAAGATCCGGGTCACGGCACCAAGTTGTTGAAAACTTGTTCTTTGAATCTTTGGGCTGAAGGAAGGACAATACTCGGTGTATCAATGCTCAATCAACAATCATTTATTTCCATACAATTCAACAATAAGAGCATTAGAACGTCCGGACGGGAGAGATGCCACCAGAGGGTCAGGCACATGTCTCAAAATGGTGACGGGTTGCTCAGCTTTTTATAGTCTCTAGTGGCCCCCAGCTAGTCGTAAAAGCCAAAACATCACATTTTTTCTCTGTTACAGCGCCTAAGTTATGACCTCGGCAGTTGTTTCTCTGCTTTCTGTAAGGTGGGGGTGTGGAATGTGGTCTATCTATCTCCCCTGTCTTTAGACACAGAGTCTCCTGCTTACAACCTTCTCTTCATGATTCAACACTTAAGCATGTCAAGAAAACAGTGTCACACATTCCCAGCAGATCAAGGATACAGAGTGATGCACATTTATCTAATGAACTAATATGTGAATATGTTCTGTTAACTCAAAAGTATAATGAGAACTAAACTACATACAGCTCACACACTCTATATTAAAGGGTATAATGTGATCTACAGCAGTATTCTAATTCAACTACTTTGATTACATATATAAGGTAACATATAATAACAGAATAATTTAATAGTCTATAACCCCATCTCAGACTTTAAATTCAGTTTCATGTTGCCTTTCCTGTTTTTCTGTTTGGATACTTGGCATACTTGGTTTCCTTTCACGTCTCTGTATCTAAATGCTCCAACTTGCAGATAAATTTTCTTTCAAGGAAAGTCAAGCCAAGTTTCCACATCTTTGGGAATTTTAGGCCTTTGAAGTGTGGAAGCTGGCAGAAATGGTTGTTTAATTTCAAAATGAAATATGTAAAAACAGTAAACGGATAATTGTGACCTTCAAATCTATGTGTTGCACAGATGTTTCCACTCAACTTTAAGTAGTTTACAAACCCTTAAAGAGCTCAGCGACGTCTTTTCACTGCAGTGATTGAGTAGTTAACTTTCTTACTACATGCATGAAAGATGGTAAATTTAACATTAAGCTGTTGAAATAAACTCAGATTCCTCTGTGCAGATTAAAAAGAAATGATTTGAAAGGCGAATTGAATGTTTGCAAGGGTTAAAGATGAAAGTGTCAGCAGCAGTAAAGTGAATTTCATACAGTTCGGTTGGTTTACGCCGTCCTGACTCGGAGTTTATGCAAAGCTCTGGAGTGATTTAGCTTTGTTAATTGAATTTGTGACAGAGCACAAATGCTGCCTGCTTGCTCTTCCCTTTTAATAATAATAATAATAAAAAAATAAAAAAAATAAAAATCGGTCCTGCAAAATGTTTAAATTGCTTTATCTGCAGTATTTGAACTCAACTATCACATGACGTCACAATTCTGCATAAAAACAAAAATGGTCAAAATCAGAAAAGCTGAAATAAGCAAAGCTAAAACCTCTACAGATCATGTCTCAATGGTAAATATGAAGCTAGAGCTAATAAAACCACACCTGTGATGATGGATGAATTGCATATACTACATATTTAAACAGGATTTTGGATTCAAGTTAAAAGTTTTAAAAGTGTTTACATTATACTGAGCCATTTAAAGTATTACTGAAAGCTACAACACATGTAAAAGTATTTTGTAAATTTGCCAGTTTTCTCATAATCTTTCCTTAGTTTTAATTTTTCTTTCAAAATCTACATTTGTCATAAATTTGTTTTTTTTCCCTAATGAAACTGCCTATTTTGTCACGGAAATGTTACATTTTCCACATTTTTTTTTCCTTTTGTCTCCGTTTAGCATGAGTATTTAAGGAAGATTTTACTGCCAGCCCTTTAATTTTGCCCCTAAAACAAAAAAATCAAAGATGTGCAAAGACTGTTTTTAGGGTAGAAAATAGGCTGTGCCATTTCCCTCATGTCTTTTTTTGTCCTGTAGCAGAGTTCAGGAAATTCCTGTGGCTGTCAGGACTTCTCTCATTTTCCTTTTTAACCAGAGCTTCCCAGCGATACCCTAAACAAGGCCTCCTCTGTGTCAGGGATCTCTCAAACAACGCTCGCTGCCTGCTAATGTTGGAAGCACCTTATTAGTCGCTGCACTGAACATCTACTTAGCTGGCTCCGGCCTGCACCAGGACAAGCTGCCAAAGGCTGGAAAACAAGCTCATTAAAACCGCAGAACTGCTCTCTGTCTGCGTTCTTTGAGAGTGCAGCTGACAATGAAACACACTCAGGACAGGTTTTATGTTTCTTTTTACTTTTGGAGAACCCCTGAAAGGAGCTTTCAGGGATTCTCCGAACTCATGTTGGTCTGTTTGTGGTCCTCTAACTGTAAACTCATACAGAGAGGATGATAATCACCACTCTTTGATTGCCAGCCAGAATGTTTCCAGTAACTGTTTCTTATCTAAGGAGTGTTATTTGAAGGTCCACCCACAGATGGAAAAAAAAAACAAAAAAACGAACTCTGTTGCTTAATTCTTGTATTCGTTGACCTTGTTTTTATGGAAATTCTGACTCACTTTGGCACATTGTTGTGCATTAGAAGTCTTCACAGAGCTTGTTTTTCTCTCTGCAGGCAATAATGTAATAAATAACTTTATTACAGAATCCATCACTTTTATGTTGTTTGCACATATATTTGTTTGTCCAGATGGTTTTGTCTTCTTCTGTTTGCACACAGAAATCGGAAACAGGAAAAAGTCTGAACTATCCTAAAGTTATACCTTATGGCTTCCTGCAGCTTACAACAACTTGGCAGTTCACGGTCCGTAGAGACTGGAAACTAGCCAGTTTGTAGCTGAGGTTTGAACTCCTAACACAGATCAACTGAAACTAGCTGGGTTTGAAAGAGAGCAAGGTAGCTTGTTTCAGTGTGAAACAGACCAAGCAAGCCTTTCATTACAGTTCAGCTAAAGCAGAAGTGAAAATATGTGAAGCTGAGCTGGGATGAAGCAGCAAAAAGTTCTGATGAGCAGATGAGCTCCTTGGTGTTTGCAGAGAAGACGACTGGCAGTGTGATATCAATAAATATCTCTTTATTAGTGCATTAATGTACATCGGAATGCAGAGATGGTCTCAGAGCCTTTGGAAATATTCTGACAGTATTGCACATTCCAGCATGGAGTTCGGTTCCTCGTCCGGGTCACACGATGAACGCCTCCTTCGCCCCCTGCTGAGGAGGAAACAGAAAACACCTGTGAGGTCACATTCGAGTGTTTGAGAGAACGAGGCCCGCCCGATCTGTGACAATCTAAAATATCACCCTAAACTATCACAGCATCCAGGGTTAGGACCGAGGTCGGCATGACGAAGAAGTGTGTTATTGTGGAAAGCATGAAAGCACAGTTGTGTCATGTGCTCACGGAAAACTAGCTGGGGTGTGGATGTCCACATGGACCCTCACGCTAACTCTCTGATGATGAAATTTACTGGCTTGAGGAGATTTGGAGGAGGTAGCTGGGGAGAGGGAGGTGTGGGCGTGTGAGCTGCATGTGAGCTGTGGTTTCTCACAGAGAGAAAGTTCCAGGCTCTTGGCTGCATCTGAATCCAGCTGAACTAACTCTGCCTATGTTACTAGCTTTAAAGACGCTTTACAACAAATAAGGAAGAAGAAGAACAACAACAACAAAAATCAGGGCTGATGGAAGCATTTCGTTTTTCGTTTCACTTGCTTGGGACATGGAGGAAAGATGCTAACTAAACGTAGCATTAACTGAAGAGCTGCTTCAGGTGAAACCAGCCTGAATCCCTTATCACCTGGTTTCCCGTCACAGCTGCAGTGAAAGGAGATGCGTTTCTCTGCTCACAATGTGAAATTAGTCTGGCTTTAAAGTAAAATGAACAGTTATGAGAAGCTGATTTTAGAAGCAACAAAATCAATGTTTGGGGGATGAAAAACAAAATAAAGCCTGATCGTGACACAATAAATCATCCATTAATTTTCTTTGATTTATCCAGGTCTGGGCAGCCTAAGCAGAGAAGCCCAGATCTCCCTGTCCCCGGGCACCTCCTCCAGTTTATTTGGGGAAACACTAAGGCATTCCCAGGACAGCCCAAGAGATATAATCTCTCCAGCATGTCCTGATGGGATGTGCCTGGAAAACCTCATCTAGGAAACCCCCAGAGGCATCCTTGTCAGATGCCCAAACCACTCTCAAATGACTGAACTCCTTACCCTCTCTCTAATGCCTGATCTGATCTCCTGCAGGAAATCTTTCTAAAGGTACGAGATCGCCTACTTAAGTAGAGAGATCCTTGGCGCTACTGATGCTCACGATGGTGCATTATGTGCTAGTTGCTATGTGTTTGTGTCCCAGTGTCAGCCGACTGAAACATAACATGTTGGGCATTTTTTCCCTCCTGCATCCTCGCTCTTTGTTGTGGTCAGGTTTCTATGGAAGCGGACAACAGTTTATACCAGTTTCCTCCACATGTATCTGCAAAATCCTGGTTCCTTTGGTCACTACTCAATCCTTTTATCTCAATCATCATGTTTTAATAACGATAAGTCAAATTAAAATTCAGTTTAATGCATAGCTTTGCTATCTGTAGATTTTCTCTGCTTATTCACACTCAGCTGCAGAAATCTGCAGCCTCAGTTTGACTATCACGACATTGATTCATCAGAACAAATCCACTCAGTCGTTCATCATCGTTAATTAGATATTGATTCGAGCATCATAAACTGCTAAATGAGCACTAAGCACTTAGTGTAGATGCCAACAGGAGCCTCCACATCTGTAGCCAGCAGCACTAATGGTTAGCAGACTCACTGAGAATCTGAGCTGCTTACAACAATTTATTTCCTGTCTAAGCAACAAATCTGCTCACTAACACACAAAATAAGTCCAGCATTCCCTAAGTATCCATTAAATGCCTTCAAATGTATTTCCATCACTATGTGGATGACAGGATAAAAAAAATGCAGTTAAAGATTGCACAATGAGGATCTGCTGTTAAAACTGTATTTTCAAGATGCACAGATGTCTGTCGGTGAAGGTCAAACAGACCTTTTTGCTTTTGCAGACCACGTGCACTTAAATGTGCAGTAAAACATCTGTTTTGACCAGGAAAAAAAACTCATGTTTGGAAATGCACACGTGCACATACAGTGAACTCCTGAACAGGTCTTTTCCTGCCTGATATATTCTGAGAATGGCGTCTTATCTTAACTTCCAGCTCATCCTGTTTTATTTCTTTACATTCCCCACTGTCAGCTGTTTACCTTGCTGAGTTCAGGAAAAAGCTCCAGCACGGCGATGTCCAGCAGGACGTACGTCATCTGAGGAAGAGAAATGATCAGGCCAGTTAGAGTCAGAGGGGAAACGTTAATCTCCTCTGACTGTTCATTGTGCCAGTAAGACAAAGTGAAAACATACAGGAAGTATGTCAGTACTGAAAGTTAACATCCAAACACTCCTGATTTCAGATATTAATTTATCTTATAGTTCAGAAAACATGCATTTTAGTCTTTCTGCTCACTCAAACATCACCATTGGCAAGAGCAGCAAATTATCCCTGAGTCATAAACCAGTGATGACTCAGTTTAATGTAAACTCAGCCTGAGAGGATCCCTGAGAAATAATTTAGCGGTGTTTAAGTACAATGTGAGTGGGAAGAGCTGCACAGTGATGAGCTGAAAACAGGACAGGCTCAACTGAAAGTCATCGGCTTGCATCCTCAGAGTGTGGCATTAAGCAAGTACTGGCGTGTGTGTGTGTGTGTGTGTGTGTGTGTGTGTGTGCGCGCGCGCGCTTTATAAAAGACCCTAACATTACATTACACATCACCGTTGAACCTGCCTGAACATACAGGAAGCTCTCGTAAATGCTGAGCTGAACCGTGGATTAGGAGAACGACTGTTTACCTGCTTGTTGAGCAACGGCTGCTGAAAACTGTCAAACAGCAGCTGGATACCTTCATACTTCGACTCCTCGCCAATGCACTTCACCACAAAGTCTGAAATCGAAGCACATCGTCCAGCTTTATTAAGCCATGAGTATGTGAAGCATGCAGATTTATTGAGTTTGACCCGAAACCTGTTAAAAACACACAGCAAAGACCAGGACTGTTTGTCTATAAGATCAGAGTAGAAGAGTTGGAGGACAGTCGGCAGAGACACTCTTCAAACTTCCAAGCCCTTTGTGACTGTGTGTTTTATGAAGTGCTAGGCTAATACAAGTTATTCATATTATTACACTGGAAACTCTTGTCTGAGCAGAGCAACCTGGAACTGCAGTCCAGAACTTTAGATGTAAGAAACAAAATACTCAAATTGATAACAGGAAGGAGATAAAGTGGCGCTCTCGTTTCCAGGTTGTAGTTAAAGCAGCTACGTTCTGTGCAGGAATCCAGCTGTAAGAAAACCTCTGTGTCTTTAAAAGCAGATGAATCTCTTCCGTACCGTGAATGACAAAAGGAAAAGCATCACGGACAATGCCAGTGTTTAAACTGGGACTTTAGATCCAGTATGACTGGCAAACTGGGAAGTGAGAACACCTCAAAGGTCTTGTGGTTTCATTTCCACTTTTACTTTTAAAGTCACAGATCAAAAGAAACTGCCTGCACGCTCACAGCTAACTAAATGTTATTACCCCCTTTAAATCAGATTTGTGACGTGTTTAAAACAGGCTCTGAGATGTTCACTGGCACTTTAGAAGAGTCGGATTTTAACACGGATACAGTAACATACTTTATTATCTTTATTGATGTTCTGATATGATAGGGTATACTGCGATGTTGTGCTGATATGCACAGCCATTATTAATTATAATGTCTCCGAGTGAGCAGATAAACTTTGAGCACAGCTTCGGGTCAGAGTTTTGAAGCTGGAAGTTCAGGATGTGACGTCATAAACCGGCGTGGCCTGGTCTGCAGAGACAGCCTCACTGAATACTTCAACGTGAAACATACCAGGAGATGATTATTGATTATTAATGATTACTGTGACTGAACTAAAACCCGACCTGGCAGGTACTTCATCATCTCCTCGAACGTCTGCTTGGCTCTGGCTTGTTTGGCCTCTGCTGTTCGTTCCTCGCTGCTTTCACAGAAGACGGCGTCTGCAGAAATGAACAGGAACAAATCACAGAGTTAATGTTTCCTCCTTTGTTTTTGGAAACTGAAACATCTGCACAGAAGCAGAGATTTTCTGTAGGGTCACACAAGATGAATCATCTTCAAAAACAAGTTTTTTTGTCCAATTAAAAAGGTGCTTCGTTCTCTGCATCAACACATCGCTGCTGATCACGTGTGCTGAGTGCTCCGATTTCACCTCAGCTGAAGATTTGTTAAGAAGTTCAGTGGCATCAACCGAACGCACTGCCTAGAGGCAGTGGGTTTGGTGAGGAATTGACAATTCCCAGAAATTCAATTTCCTGGCAGGAATGTAATGATGGCAGCATGCTGGAAGCTGTCTGGGCACACCTGAGGAGATGGGAGATCTGCCAAACCTAAATCAGATGCAGCTTCTGAGATTTATGTGCAGTTATAACCTTCTCTCTGATTAGCCTTTTGAGCCCTTCGCAGGATGAGGAAGGATAAAAGGAATCATTCTGGAATAAAAAAAAAAAAACAACCCTTTGATGTACTAACTGCAGGTTTATATTGCTGACAGGATTCAGATCTGCATTTTTATGATTTGAACGTTAATAAAATACTCAGACTCTCTTTTCTTTCCGGTTCACTCACTGTTGACTCAAATCCTGAGCTCGATAAGTTTAACTCCTACCAGCTCAGATCAAGGAACAGCTATCGTGGTGATGCAGGAGCTTAAAATGATGCTCAGGTTGAGTCGTGAGGCTTTTTTTTGTGTAACATTTAAAAAGCAAGAAAAGACCTTTCCACATACTGACGCTTCTTTTGGGGTCATAAACAATCCGAACACCTTGGAAATCATCTTAAAAGCAGCGATACTGAGGCCGGAAATAAGAAAAGACTTCATCGGTGCGGGTGGCGTCCTACCTCGGAGCTGAGTGATGAGGGAGACCACGCGGTGCTCCTGAAGGATCTGCTCCAGTTTCAACTGCATGTACTGATCCATGTAGGCTTCGAATGTGCTCTTCAACAAGATCCTCCCAGCAGACAGAATGTGATGCAGCCAGTCCGGCATGCGAAACACCACCCGGCCTGCGAGTTCAAACACCAAGACGGATACAGACAGTCAGGCCCGAATCAGTTCAAGAAACACAGATCGAAACATCTCAGAGGCTTTAGGTGACCAATCTAAAGTCTTCTAATCATAACAGGTCTGCGCGTTCAAAGCAAAATCTCTGCTTAAAGAAACGAAAGTAAAAAGAGCTTCGGTGGGACAAGTTAGCACGATGGCTGCTTTCTAAGCTAAACTGTGGGTCTGTGATTAATGCAAGTGTCTTCATCCCTGCTTTGATTATCAGTACAACGTGTATCATGTTACCATTAAAGGCCACAGTATCTGCTGCAGGAGGAGTGAAACGTAGAAAGGAAATCATTGGATGCTTTCCTGCAGTAATTTTTCCCTCAAATGTTCTGACTGCAAGAAATTCCAGCTTCCAGCATTTCCACATGTGTGCGATTTGGTCCCGTCATCGTCGTGTTTCTGACTTCGGTTACTTACACGGACACTGTGACAGAGGCTGTACAGACTTCCTGTAAAGCTGTGATCTTGCCTTTAGAGGCTGCTAACGGCTCCTCGGGCTCACTCACCGACATACATCATGTAGTCGTACATGCCGTCCACAGTGAACGTCTCTGCGAAGAAGTTGGGGTTGTGCTTCCTCTCCGACAGGTTGCCGTTGTTCTTGAACAGGTTGCTAACGAGCTGCAGGACAACGAGCACATACCGTTACCTCGTAACGATTAAAATGCTCGACGTAATTTAAAACACGAAGAAATATTGAAAAAACAAGGCTAAGCTACAGACGAGTACATGCAGAGGATCTTTAGTTCATAACACACAGGAGACAAAGTCTTGAACAATCAGGCCCCATCTTATCCTAGTGACCCCACAATACCGTGTTACTTTCATAGAGCATATACTTCAAAATAGAATGGGACACAGAACCTTCAGTTTTCAGGCTCCCATCTTGGATTCAGGAGACACAATCTGTACTTTTGAGATTAGGATTAAACTTTCCTTTTCACCGGTTGCGGCAAGTGGCCGCCCCTCCCTGAGCCTGGGTCTCCTTGAGGTTTCTTCCTGTTAAAAGGGAGTTTTTCCTTCCCACTGTGGCCAAAGTCCTTGCTCATGGGGGGTCCTATGATTGTTGGGATTTTCTCCATATGTACTATTGTAGGGTCTACCTTACAATAACAGCTTGAGGTGACTGTTGTTGTGATTTGGTGCTGTATAAAAAAAACTGAATTGACTGATTATATCTTCTTTTCTTTGAACCAGGCTTCTACAAGTATTCATGACTAAATGCCAGGATATGACTGAGGCTCAGACATGGCGTTAAAGCTTCCATATGCATTTATAGGACAGATGTTTATTACCTTCTTGTTCCCCGCTGTGGGGCTGATGATGGTCAGCTCGGGCCGGCTCGGTTTGGGTTTGGGAGACTCGCATGAGTTGACGAAGGACTGAAGGAACCGCTCCAGGTTCTGTCCTCTCTGCAAAACACACGTCAGCGAGTTTCACAACATGTGCAACATATCTGCAGAAAGTCTATTATAGCTTATCACCTACTATCATTAAAGCTGCTGATATTGAGATTGTGGAGTGTTTACAAGTATTTAGGGATTTTTCTAGACCGTAAACTGTGTTTTGAACCTCATGCTGATGCCACTAAGTTCACCAAACACTGTTCTTTTTACGGAAAATGAGATCTTTTATCTGAAATGTTGTCCTTATTTTACAGGAGTTTTATTGAACCTGTTATTTCTTTCTGTATCACTGCCTGGTTCGGTAACATGACTCTGAAGAACAAGAATCAGTTGGGACTTTTGGTGAAAACTGCCAGCAAATTCTCAGGGAGTTGGCAAGACAGAGTTTTGGCCGTTTATAACAAGTATGTGAGGAAGGTTCATTCTATTGTTAATTGTTTTAAGCATCCACTTCACAATGACTTTGACTTGCTTCCCTCTGGCCGTCAGTGCAGGAGCACTGATGAATAGGATGTTTGTCGTATCGGTTCCTGAAATTCTCACGATTTTCTCAACACAAATTTTTATTTTAATTTTATTTTTTTTAACTGAAACAGTTGTTTTACTTGAAGATATTTCCCACTCATTTGCTCGAGATTCATTACATATTCATTTATTATTCATGTATGGTGGGACACAGCAAAATTTGTGGGTCACAGAAAAAAGAAAAAGTTCAAGCACTGCCCCCAGGTCAGACTTTTTAAGCTTACAGCTATATACACTGCCAACCAAGACAACCATAACCAAAATACATCTCCGTCCTTGAATATACAAGAAAGCTCTACTCTGTGGGTAAATTCCACCTTAAATGAAAAAACCAGGGCAACAACATCAGGAACAGGAAACGATTAGATGTATTTTTAGACATCGTTTTTCTTCGAGACCCTGTGAATTTGTCCTAGAGGTCGGGTCAGCTGCATGACACCAGATGTCATTGATCACAGACTCTGTTTGTGGGGTTTGGCATGTTTCCGGCTGTTTCTGTATATCTGTGTGTATATTCCCAATGCTTGTGACTGCCTGCGACTCTAGAGGTTAGACAAAACGAATCGTGAGTAATTTTGCTTTCTGGTTTTGGCTCACAGTGAAATTCTGGGTCTGCAGAGGGAAATATCAGCTTACCAATAAGACGTGGCTTTTAAAGGTGGGACACAGAGAAGCTGCACTTTCACACGCTTCTAAAATCACTCCAGATAACGGGAGACGTTTGCTTCATTAACTGAGATAATGCCTTCGCAAAGTCAAAAGAAAAACAGAGAAGATCCCCGGCTCAGGAAGAGATACTCACCTCCTTTATCAGCTTTCCAGGAACAGACTTGAAGATTTTTCCTGTAGAAAAAAACAAAACAAAAAACAAACAAAAACACTTTAGTCACAAACCGAACACAGAAAGATGGCGGCAGCGAGCGCTGAATGAAAAATTATGATATTTGCTCCCATAGTAACATTAACTGCTTTATACAGGTTACAATGCAGAAGCACTGATGTTAACAGTGCACAAATTCAATTAATATAAAAGCATGACACGGCCACTGACACCAATGCTATTTACTTATTTCATCACTTTCTTAAGTCAGTCTGAGTTTTATACAAATGTTTCACAATAAAATTATTTTAAAAGAAAAAAGTAATAATGAGAGATTTTAATTTGCAAAAGAAAATGTTGAGTAAAGACAGACATGATGGCATCACCGTCTGATTATTAATCACACGAAGTAGAAAAAGGTCAGGCATGTTCACTGTGAGTAAAAGTCAGTGAGTACAAGCTGATTAAAGCCCATTTACCAGTAAACCAGCAGCTACCGCCAGCTTTCAAGGTGGAGTGCTTTGTTACTTCATGCAAGAGATGACTTCAGTCATGGCGTTGAGCCATCCATCCACAATGTCAGTTTGAATTTGAACCAGAATAACCGACAGTGACTGTCTTATTTCTTTAGTGGGAGAAGATGAACTCTCTTAGACTGCACGTGTGCAAGACATGCAGCACAAAGTCTTCATTTTGACTTCATAATCATGCTGCTTTGCAACATTAAATAATGGAGCAGATTGCAGTTTCTGATGGTGGTCGTTCTGCTCTGCAGCTGTGGCGAGATCAGTGTAGTGACACATGGACCAGGTCTCCACCGGCTACAGGTGAGCTAACAGCACCCTTTATTAGCGCAGCTACTCTGAAATAGTCACATAAAAAAAAACCCAAAAAAAACAGAGGGCATGTGTGATGCGTTGGTTACGTACCCAGGTTGACATCGGGCAGCATCCTGTCCAGGAACTGATGCTCCACAAGAGGAGACAGGAAGTCGAACAGCAGCTGGCTGTTGCTGAGCTCCGGATGCTGTAGGAGAGCCTGCGCACAAACACAAAGAGCCAAGAGTCAGACTGATGCTCACCTCTCAAATAAAGACTTACAGAAAAATACAACAAGCGCTCAAAGTCATCAGGCCAAGCAGCGGTGCATAGACTAACTGATAACTTTACTGCTTCTCTTAGGTTTGTTTTTCTGGGGGCGAGATGCTTTATAGACTGACCAATACCTGCAAATATTTCTCAAATTCTTCCCTTTTAGATTCGAGGAACTCGTAGTTCTTTGGTCCGATGATTCTTTTGGATGGAAGCTGTGCATCTTCAAATGGGCCTGAGAACAAAGTCAAGCGGGGGAAAAACGGGGTAAAATACCAACAGCTGAAATATAACACGGTCATTTGATAAAGTGAGGTAGGTACATAGACTGTATACGAAGAAAGGACATAGCCAGCCTGTGGTTTGTGGAATCCTTTAACATTAAAACCAGCCATCACAGAGTCTCCATCTGTTGGCCATTACAAAGAACTTCACTTTCCACTTTTACCTTTCAGCCCTTTTTCAGCAGAGTCCATCTCTTATATACAGTCTCTGGTTTTGTAAACACTGTATTACCGTGGAATTCGGTGAGTTTTGACTCCAGGACGTAGAACTCCATGTACTTCCTTTGCACCAACCACTTGTCTGCTTCGTGATCAGCTAAAGTAGACGAGAGCAAAAGCCATTACATCATCTGACTGATGAGTCACTGAGTCTGGGCTACCTCACAGGACTATTTCTGATTATATAACAAACAAATGTCTGCTCTGAGCAAATAAAACCTCATTAAAGGTTATTTTCCTACAAACATCTTCAGGTTCGTCTGTGCAGGAAGAACCTGAACCTTCCTCTCCGCTTGCTCACCGTTCTTTTTGTCGTTGCGCTCGACGTGGATGGAGAAGACTAGGATCCGCTCCTTCTTGATGTCGTCGTCGTAGAAGTCGATGTAGGGGATGGTGATACTCCAGGCCAGAAGGTTCCTCTGGGGTTCAGGTGGGATGGCCGGCTCGTCGGGGGAGTCGTCTTCCATCACAACTGTGGCCTCCTCCACCTTCAGGACGGACAGAGGAGACTCACAACTAAGACATCGAGCACCGATGTGGAAAAACCATCGATCTATATTTAAACGCCGCTGCACTCACCATATCGTCGTCGACGTCATTCATGGCGCTGGACGGCAGTAAGGCGCCCTCCATGGTCGTGCTCTTAAACACGCCTTTGATTTTACTGCCAATTCCTCTGATACCGAACGACTCCCCTCTTTTGGACGTGTTTCTAAAGATAACAGAATATTTCATCTCGTTTCTCTGGACTCCATTTACTGCAGGACAAATTCACACGGAGGATTTCTCTGTGCGCTAGGACGTGTAAGTAAAATGTAATCAGAATACAATGATCTGCAAATCATGTCAAACTCGTATGAAGTTAAGTACAAAAGAGAACTTTGCTGAATCACCGTTCCGTTAACAGCACTCGGTCTGCGCTTGGAAACTTGATAAACACTCTTTAGACTCAACAGCTCAGTTTGCTTTCATAGCACTCCAGATGTTTTCATATCTGGACTCAAACTTAAATCATCATAAACTTCCCGCGGTCTCACTCTCCTTTACTTCTCTAAAGCGTCTTCATACACGATCATCTTAGTAATTAACTTCTTCTTTTAACCATTACACGATTTTTCCAGCCTGTGCCAGAATTTTTTTTAAAGATATGTCATTAGATTTTGGGTTTGTATCTTTTTTATGTAACACAGGTTTGAAATGACTTGCAGAGGAGTGCATTCTTTTTTCATCATTATATTATCATTATTATTGACAGTTCTTTGCCCTCAATTCTTTGGAAACGTGTTGTGTGGTGCACAAGTCATGCAGCAGGCATGAACTAAGAAAGGAAGCCAGCATCAGCATGTCTGTACTTCTTCCTCAAGAATTTTGTATTTAGTAGGACATCTGGGGAAAATCTGTTTGCCTTTCTAGCACTAAACGCACGACTGCTGAGTCCTGAATCAAGAACAGTGACTAAAAACGAAAAATCAGTGTCAGGCAAAAATGCAAATGCAATGCAAAGACTCAGTGCTGCTCATCCGACCACAAGGAGAAATTCTAATGACTCTCCAGCATCTTTATTCCATCTTCTCAAGCAGGAAGTTAAAATCGCTGAGCGAGCATCACGCAAACAAATCTGCGGTCAGCAGTGCTCTATCCGCATGCATCGTACCGTGTGCTGTTTGCAGGCAGTTTCAGTGCAGACGAGCAACATGCTGCTCGAGTGCTTACCTGGTCTCGTCCCAGCTGAAGCTTCTGGAATAAGAAGCGCATCTAAAGACGGGCGTTTGGACAAAAGACAACCTCAAAGAAATAAACATGAGCACAGTGAGCTGCTCTGATTGTGTGCTGCCTCACAGTGAAAGGTTTACGGTGGTCACTGCGAACACAACGCTCAAAATGAGGAGGAACAAACCAAATTACTCGGACGTGTTTGTGTTTATGCACGTGTTGACAAATTTGTGTTTTCAGAATAAATGCTTCCCCCCCACCCCTTTCATTGTTACTTTTTTTTAAAAATTTTTAAACACCTATCAAAACAAACACGTGAAGTTTAGTGCAAATCACAAACCTGCTGACTTTCGAGCTCCTCGCTGGAGACTCCACCCCCTTCAGCAGGTGTCTGAAGTACTGCACGGAGAAGAGAAAAAGGTACATAAGTAGTGACTAATATGAGATTCTGAAAGTCCTGAGAAATGTACGATGGAGTGTGATCAAAATATTTCAGAGAAAAGGAGAAGAGCAGTCAAATTTAAATCGGGTACGTTTTTGGACAAATTGGTGAAAAAGAATCTGTAAATAATCCTGTAAAAAAGTATTTTAAGTGTAACAAATAGAAGTCAGATCAACTTCCTCTTCATTTATATAACTTACAGCTTCGTGTATATATAGCTATTACCTCAACACTGTTAATGAATAAGAAATTAAACTCACTAACGGCTCCAGAATTCTATTCTTGGACTCTAGAGTAACTTTGCATGATTCACAGTTCAGAATAATCTTTATGTGTCACACACTGGACCTTGGATGCAGAGCCTTAGTTAATATGATAAAAAACTTTTTAGGTCCCTGTGTTTGAGCTGATTCTTCTGATTTCTCCTGATTGGCTGCCCCTCACAAACGTAACGTCAACCATATTAGGGATATCGGCTCTTAAGCTGAGAGTATGGAGGAGGCTGGGCTTTTGGCTCAGGTTAACCCGTGCACCTATGACAAAGTGGAACAAACAAGGCAGCTAGCAGCTGAAGCACGAACTGGTGACCTTGTGATGTTGTGCTTTGATGTGCTGCGTTTGTGTGGGTCAGTCTGGTTGCAGAGGTCTTACCTCATCGCTGTGACAGAATATGGGCGTGAAGACTCTTTCCAGTAGAGACAGGACATGCTCGTACGCCTCAAACAGGCAGCGCATCTGCTGCAGCTTCACCACCTCAGTGTACGGACCTTTGGCGACTGACAGAGAACACGAGCTGATGTCACTGCGTGCTTCCGCTTACTGAGTTACAGAGCTTAGAGAACATGCTATATACATAGGTAACACAGGCACGTCAAACACCATCGTAACAGTCATGTTTCACAGTTTCTATGAACTGAATTTTGGATCAGATTAAACCTGAGCGGCTGTTTTCCAACAGCGTCCACACGTACAAGGTTCCAAAATCTTTATGCGCACGAAGCACAAACAGATTTTTTTTTCTTTGTAAGAATAACCAGAACGTGTGCAAAACACAGAAGATAAACAGAAATATTTAAAGTGTCCAACTCAGTAAACACAGGATTTAACTAAATATATACCAACACTTCAGCCGTCATTGTGTACTCTTGCACAGACTTGTAAATACCAACTAGTCTTCAATTCTCTCATATTTAATACTTTCTCTTCTTTTTTCCTATTATTATTATTATTATTATTATGCTACTGCTAAATTCTGTTATTTTCTTCTTAATATAACTGCACACTCTCTATATGCTCATGTAAAGCTGAGGAGCACAAGCCAAAGAATTTCATTATGATAAATGTGGCTACACTGTTTATCTGTACGTGACAATAAAACTTGAAACTTGAGATATCCCCACAGGCTAACAGGGGAGAATGTGCATGAAAACACAGTCAGTGCACACAGCTGATGCAATGAGCTTACACTCCCAGAAACTGAGTGCCAGAAGAGTTTGCATGGCCAGCAGTGTATACGGTCAATAATCAGAGCTAATGATCGAAACAAAATATTAATATTAAAATATTTCAGTTTAAACTGATGCAAACACCAGCTGTGGATCCATAAGCTGTGAAATGAAACACCATCTTCACCAGCGCAGGTTCAGGGGGTCTCACGATGTTCGATATCAAACACCATTTGGATGAAAATGGAGCCACGATGCAAACAAAACTTTCCATCTTCGCCCTGCTGCTGTCGGGAAAATCTCACACAATCAGTCACCTGAGTTATAATAACAATGGTGATAAATGTGATGGCCCCACATATGGCACCGACTGGCTGGTGTTTAGACCTGTAATCGTGCTCATTGGACCACTTTTGGACCACGCTTATTTAACCAAGAAACAACAATGCTATGTAAACTGGCCAACGCAGTGAATTTGCAATAATTTAGTAGTTTTTGGTGACCTTTTCTTTTTCTTTTTTTTTTTTTTGGTCAAATCAGTGACAGTTTGTTACTGGATTTAAAAAAACAAAAAAAAAAACAAACAAACTTGTGTAGAATTGGACATTAATCGCTTCCAAAACACTCTGTATCAAGAAATTTGATGGAATTTGAAGAATATTTCATAAGAAAATTCACAATTAAATTTTCAGAAATGTGAATGAAATCGTTCACAATCTGCCGCTTGCAGTTACAGAGCATCATACAACACAGCTCATCTCTGAGCTTTCACATTTAGCTTCAGGTCAGGTGACAGGTGTTAAAGCCTAAAGGCGAGGTAACGATCATGCAAACAGCAACTCTCACCGTTCCTTATCTCTTCTACGATGAACGGGTCGAAGCTGATCTTGTCGATGCTCTCCTCGAGGCAGTACGTCTCGTACATGTGCACCACCTCGCCGTGCAAATGCAGCAGCTCAGAGTCGCTCAGTTCCGGACGAAGGATCTTATCGTTAAGCTCCTCTGGGGGAAAAAAAGTTTTATATAGTCAGTCCGACACATTTATATAACAGGCTCCAACAGGGACCTCACTGCATGTCTTAGAACTCATAATAATGATGATAAAAAAAAAAAAAAAACGTTATTAATCAAGTTACAAACTGCTTGACAGAGAAACATTTTCATGCTTGCTGCATGTAAGTGGAGCAAAACTGTTTACAGGATGAGCTGTATGAGGAGATCAAATGTATGGACTCCTACCGACGGCGAGGCAGAACTGCAGCACATGCACGGCTCCTTCCTGCTTCAGGAAGTTCATGAAACGAAAGAGGAGATCCTGCTGCTCCCTGATCTCTTTCAGCTCCAGCTTCAGCACCTGTAGCACCACACAGGGAGGGTCAGACAAGCTTCAAAAATAAATCTGCGCCACATTCACACTGTGTGGAAAATGATCAGAAAATTTTTATTTTTTTTATAAATCACTACATGTTTATACAACTTATAAATAACACCTTACACCAGCCTCCAGACCTCAAATTAGACCCTCGATTATTATTCAGGCTAAGAACAAAAGGGGATCATGTTTTAGGGATAAACGTTGTGGCTATTTACCATATAAGGTTTATTATTATTGTTATTAGAAACACCAGTTCAGTAAATGTATATACACTTGAATTTACTTATTACATTTATGAAGTTGGGAAAGCGCTGTTTAAGTTGACTTAAATTGCTTTAAATAGAAACAATTCCCAGCTCTATCAGGAGAAGTGTGATCAGACCTTCATTCTTAGTTTGAGCTGCTGAAGTCACAGCAGTCTGGAGGAAAAGCTTTTCTCCTGCCCTGTCGCACTCTGAGGTACTTACAGACGGCTTCTGGCTTCTGATTTGATGCGTTTCTTCGTATTTCTGTAAAAATGGAACCAGTGGAGACGGAGGCTCTGTGGCTGGCTCCGGCTGGACAGGACAGATTCAAAGAGGCCATTAATTCAGAACACTTGACTACAATTAAATTAATTGATTTGAGTATAAACGAGTGAAAAAAAAAAAAAAAAAAAAAAAAGACTCTTCATCTTTAATGTGTTTGTTTTCCATGCTGGACACATTGTATGTTATAGGTCCACTGTGCAGGATTTAGATCACCTACTGGCTGGACTCAGGTCTGATGTTTAGAGCTTTGTTCATAACGGTAAACCTCAACGCGGAGCTTATAAAGGAGCTGACAGGCTGAAGTGAAAGGTTTTGGTTTCAAATCCGGGGACCAGGAGGCATACAGTGCTGCCAGGGCCAACCTGAGAAGAGGCATCAAGACTACCAAGCAGCAGCACAGGAGGCGTATCGAGGCCAGGTTTGAGAACAACACAAACCCAAGGCAGGTCTGGGAGGGCATCAGGGCTATCACGGACTACAAAAGGAGAACACCATCACCCTCAGCCGACAGTTCTACTCTGGCTGAGGATTTAAATCTCTTTTATGCCCGTTTTGACAGGGAGAACACCGACCCTGTCCTGTCCCCTCTCCCCTCAACCGACCCTGCTCCAGTCCTGAGCACTCATGAGCTGAGGCGTGTGTTCCGGAGCACTAACACCAGGAAGGTGGCCGGGCCAGATGGAGTGCTGGGACGGGTGCTAAAAGACTGTGCTGCGGAACTGGCGGATGTCTTCACCTCTATATATATAAATAACACCTCGTTGTCCTGTTCACTGGTACCATCCTGTTTCAAAGCAGCAACCATCGTTCCCATCCCAAAACAGTCAAATGTCACATGTCTGAACGATTTCAGACCTGTGGCACTCACCCCCATTCCCGTCAAATGCCTGGAGAGACTGGTCATCAAACACATCAGAGCTGCTTTTCCACCATCCCTGGACTCGCACCAGTTTGCATACAGGGAGAACCGGTCAACCGAGGATGCGATCGCCACAGTGCTGCACACATTACTGGAGCACCTGGAACACAGGAACACCTATGCACGGCTCCTCTTTGTAGACTACAGCTCGGCTTTTAATACCATCCGGCCATATAAACTCCGTCCCAAACTCCACCAACTGGGACTTAACTCCTCTCTGCGCAACTGGATTGTGGACTTCCTCACTAACCGTAGACAGAGTGTCAGAGTGGGTAAGAACACCTCTTCCACCCTTGTGGTCAACACCGGTGCCCCTCAGGGGTGTGTTCTGAGCCCTCTGCTATACACTCTCTTCACCCATGACTGTATTTCCTCCTGCGCGTCCAATCTCATTGTTAAGTTTGCCGATGACACCACAGTGCTCGGACTTATATCCAACAACGATGAGACAAACTACAGGACAGAGGTGCAACAACTAGTCATGGTGCCACGACAATAACTTGGTCTTAAACACCAAAAAGACCAAGGAGATCATTGTAGATTTCCGGAGGAAGGGTCATAACAACCATCTGCCTCTCTTCATCGGCAGTGAGGCGGTGGAGAAGGTGAGCAGTTTTAAATTCTTGGGGGTAACTGTGCCCGAGGACCTGTCCTGGGGCAACCATATCACCTCAGTTGCACGGAAAGCCCAACAGCGCCTCTACTACCTGAGGAGACTGCGGAGCGCACACATTCCCAGATCTCTGATGTTGAACTTCTACAACTGTGCCATCAGCAGCGTTCTGATGTATGGATTTCTAGTGTGGTTCCCCAGCTGCACCAAGGCCGATCAGCAAGCACTCCAGCGGGTGGTGAAAGAAGCTGGCAGAATTATTGGAACAAGTCTGCCAGAGATCAGTAATATCTTCCCCACTCGCTGTCTGAGACGGGTGCACAGTATTCTGCGGGACCAACATCACCCTGCGCGCCACCTTTTCCACCTGCTGCCCTCAGGGAGAAGGTACAGGTCTATACAGGCCAGAACATCCAGACTGGCCAACAGCCTGTATCCACAGGCTGTGAGGCTCCTGAACTCTCTGCCCCCTCTCACGGACAATAACCATATCCAACTTCTTAATAGCACTGAACTTACTTGTCAGGTTCTCATGTTTACTTGTCATGTTCTCATGTTGTTGCTAAGGATTGTCTTATTGCACTGGAGTCACACTGGGTTAAATATTTACACTTGGGTTTTAAGCGGTATTTATTATTTTCTTCATTATTTTATTTACGGGTTGTACGGAAGCCCCAAATGCAATTTCATTGTTCTCTGACAATGACAATAAATAAATAAATACTAAATACTAATTCAGCTGGAGATAACTGGATTAAAATGAGCCTCCTGAATCTACACTGTGACACGGTCTCTCATAGCAATGTCGGCTCTCCTCCACACTTGACCTTTAAATTTTGTGGGGCGCAGATAAAAGGAAGGCGGTTCACTTACTGGAGTATCATCAACAAATAGAAGCACCATGAGGTTCACTGTATCCTGAAAAGGAGGAGAAACAGGACATGATGTAAAAAAAGTTTTATACTGTCACAGCGTTTCATCATCACATTAGGATTCATATTGTATAAAACATTTATAATTTCACCAATTTAACAGATAATCTTGATTAATTTTGTTTTAATTTAATATATTTTTATGTGATTGAGAAAATGCAGTTCAACAGTTCAAAACACTGAACTGATTTGGGGATTTTACGTACACATATTTGTTTTGTTTTTTTAAATCAAACTCTGATGCACCAAAGATACAGACCAACGCGATCATGTGGCTACTTACAGGGTCGGCCATGAAGTCCATGGTTGGTAGGATGACGGATCCAGCCATCACCTCCCGCAGCAGCAGAGCCAGAGACCTGCACCACATGAAGCAAAAACCAAAGCTCAGAAATTTATCAGAAACTCTGCCTGAGACTCCCGCGATGCATTAAAGTCGTATAAGAACACCTAACGAGGCAAGAGAGAAGGTTTATGGTTTTTTAGATCCAACCGACTTGGAACTTGATGGACAGATTAGAACATTTGAAGGTATCTGAGAAGAAACCAACTGCAAACCAACTTCAGATAAGTGGAAGAAATCGATGGATGGCTGGAAACTGGACTGAAAATCTCCTGTTCAGAGTTTGAGAGCTACAATGGAAATCTAAGAGAAAGAACAGAAATCGTCTCTGTACGGCGGAACGATGAAGGTGTGAAAATATCAAAAAGTCTCAGATGCAGAAAAACACTTCATTCGGTCGTCTCTGTACCTGCAGTCTGTGGCTTTGGGAGGCATGACATAGGGAAACAGCATCTCCGTGAGCTTCCTCAGGTACAGCAGCTCGTCTCTCCGGCTGTGCAGAGCGACGTGGAGGTCGGCGCCATATTCGTCCAGAGCCGCCTGCTGCAGGCCGTCTACAGTCTTCACTACAAACAGACATAAATATTAGGGTGCAACCCTGCACCGAGTGAACCCCACGCCACACAACCACAGCCAGCATGCTTCCCACAGACGACTGAATATAACACGCATATTAGAAATGAAGCACGAGCGGACACGTGCATACCTCTTTGGTGGGCTTTTGCAATAATTTCAATGTGCTTCATCGCAGCTTTCATCACTTTGTCTGCAAACACAGCAGGGATATCAATCTGCCAACAGTGAGAAACACACAAAAAGTAACGATTAACACAAAAATCATCAAAAATAGGCACCAGACACGGCGGGGGGCAATCATTAAAAACAGCACTGCATCCGATCCGTTTGAGATTTGGAACATGTTTCTGAACGGAAATCTGAGTAATCCAGTTGATTTAATTTCACTGCAGCAAACAGAAAACTGACAGTCGGCTCCAGGAGAGTTCACTGACACTTCCAACAAAATAGAGCCAAACAAGCTTTGTTACTAAATATATTATTAATTATTATCTTTATTATCATTATTATTATGTAGCATTTTACTATATAGATTATTTTTTTCCTGTCTTTCAGCTCGGCTATAATCAAATAAACTTCACACGTTACCTGTAATTGGATAAGTAATTAAAACAAAGCTGATTAGTTTAAGGCCCGAGGAATTACAGCGAGGAATTATACTTCTGTTTATTTCTAAAAATCAACCACATAAACAATGTCATAAAAACTTGTGGCTTTGGAAACACATTGAAGGTTTTTTTTAATATTATTTCATACTATTTATAAACTGGATTTCACTCTAAACCAGCTGCTGATCTCATTTTCAGTGGAGCAAATCTGTAATCCTCACAGTTTGTTTTGTGAGAAAGAACATCACCTTCTGAGCTCGGCGGACAAGCACCGACGCGAAGAAGCGAAAAGTCATCCTCAGTTCATCCAAACATGCCTCGTCATCTGTGATGTCTCTGAAACCAGAGGCGGCAGTTTAAAAAAAAAAAAAAAAAAAGAAACACAAACGTCTTTACCAGTACATGGGTAAAAACATGCTTTGAGCTGTCCTCCTACCTGTACCAGGGGTACACAAAGTTCTCAAGGACTAACTCGAACACCTGCGAGGGGGGGGCAGTAGAGAGGTCAGAGAGGACCACATAATCACATCTGGATGTTTCACTTAAGCACATGTCCAGCTGTTGAGCTGAGGTACCTCTGCTACTGAGGCGTCCACCTTTGAATGAACCTTCAGGTCCAACCATGGCTGATAGTTTTCTAGGAGCAGTGTCGGCCTGCAGTTAATGAAAGAAAGTCAGTCAGGTTTATGATTGATTGTTTCGTCTGTTTGCAGGATTTTTACAAAAAGACTGATGGAGCTGCACGAATCTTTGCTCAGTTGTGGGGATTGTTCTGATCTTTGAAGTTGATCCGGTGGGGGAGGTGTGGGATGCCAGATCAGGCGCCTCCTTCCAGCCCTCCTCTCTGCTCTCTCCTATCTTGTCTCTTTTGTCTAAATTCTCTCTATCACCTTTTCTATTCCTTTGAAGAAGTCAGGCTCCATAAATATTAAGGAGGTAAATATTACTTCTCAGTTGCAGTGAATTGAAAGAAGAAAATACATTGTAGAAAACTAAACAGAAAAAAGTAGAAGAGAAATAATAATTTAACATAAACCAGTGACACACCCCGGGGCCTGATCAACCCTGGCACGGCCTTCTTAGATGAGGGTGTCTAGTGATAATGGCAAAAACACCCGATGAATCCAAGGTCCACTACTGATCGAGATGATTTTAATATGATCATCTCGATCAGATCTCTTAATCCCTAAACCTAAACAAGGAAGGAAAAAAATGGTAGAATAGCTTGGGATAAAAGAGCGAAACACCCTGTGAAGTTGAGGCACACAACGATGTGTCCCGCTGGTTAACTTTCTGGGATGCCTTTCCTCATAACAGCCGTCCCTCAAGACTTTCTTACGGAAATAGGAAAAAAGAAAACATAAATAGGAAAAAAAAACTGATTTCCAAAAGCACAAGGGATATGTTTCTGGGGAGACAATAACCTGACGGACCAGTTGCAGGAACCAAAATATGCTAAGAATTGCGCTGGGAGACACTTAAAAGAAGTGGAGGATCTATCGATTTTGTGAGGAGAGAAAAGATGAGAGGTAAGTGTGTCAGCCTGACTATTAGCCTAAAAATCCATCATCATTATTATACGAATCATGATAAAACACACCTATCATATTTTGGGTTCCTGCAACTGGTCCGTCGGGTTATTGTCTCCCCAGAAACACTTCCCTTGTGTTTTTTCCTATTTCTGTTTTGTTTTTTCTATTTCTGTTGTGTTTTGTGTGCTTTTGCAGCATTTTTCTTATTGCTGGTGTTTTCTTAAGTGGCATTCCGTTTGGCCTCTCAGGGTCACCGTACTTTCTCCATTTGAAGCAATGCACTATCAGGGATTGTAACATCTAGTCCTTTTACTGAATCTGTCAGGACAAGCAAGGCATGCAGTGGCTGCCTTGTCAGATCTAAAAATAGGCATAAATTAAAATGTACCAAAGTAAAGCGACCTCTCTCCTTTCATCTCAGACAGCGCTGTCATAAAACTCCTCACCTGTTGATTAACAAATGCATCCAGGCTTTAAATTGCTGCCATCTTGTGGCAGCAGTCAGCAATTGTTGTTGAAAGTTTCTTAAAAATCGCATAGAATTTGTTTAAAGGGCGTGTCCATCTCCCATCAACAATCACTGGAGCTGGGCAAGCGGAGAGGCCAGAAGCCTGTTTCTGGCGGTTTGCACATGCATTGTGGAAAAATCTGACAGCAGTAAACTGATAAGAGACCAGCGTGCGTGACAAGGTGTCAGTGGCTGTACTTTCACTGCTCTGAGTGTAGTCACGGCCAGCAATCCATAACAGTAGTTATAACTTACAATTCTTCAGCCAGGAAGGAGTGCAGAAAGGTGAACATATCCATGTAGAGCCCAGACAGGCGGCACAAACTGTATGTTAATATCTAATCAAATGTATTTAGTTAAATTGGTACATAAATAAATTGCAGAGGAATTGAGGTACAGTTATCATCTGGCTTATTCTGAGGTTTGAAAAATGATGGTTATCTTCTCAGTTTAACCAGTCAGTGTCAAGCCCCACACAGGAATTTACAAGTGGAGGTTTTCATGTTGTGAATGCATTTAAAGATGTTGCCAGATTTTTAAAAATAACAATAACAATAGTTGAGAACTATTACCTCTTCTCTGCAGTTTGATTTACTTTGAAACATCTCAGAGCTCAGCCATCTCTGCGAAGCTCTCGAAAAAATCCACAAATAAAGTTTGATTATCTGATCGTGAAGTGCGTTTCCTTGATTAAGACCAAATCTTTTCTGCTGTTAACCAATCAGCCGACAGTACTGTTAATCTTTCAGACTAACACCGTCTGTTAAACATTTTCTAGTCTGAACATGTGGGGTCAGAGGTCAGGTGAACGTACCGGTGACGCTTGCATTTGACCTTCCCGCACACGGCACAGCTGTGACCCAGAGGAAACAGTTCCTGCTCCCGTTGCTGTGCAAAGGAAGAGAAACATCAGTCAGTAAAGATGTACACTTCATCACAGAAAACCTGTCTGTGTGCAGAAATCATCATTCAGTCAGAGCCTCTCAGGTAAAGGTGTGTGCCTCACTCTGCTCCTGGGCTTCGCGGTGAACAGGACGCTGGGAAGGAGAGTCTCTGGTCTGAGGGAGCAGTAGAAAGTGGCAAAACCAGCCAGGAGCGACCAGAACACCATCAGGATGTGAATATACCTGCAGGGAGAGCATTACACAGACTCTCCATGTGAATGAGGAGATGAACTAGGGCACCACCTAGCCACCTGAGCTACAGGGGTGGCTGTAGCTCAGGTGGCAGAGCAGGTCAGCCACTAACCTGAAGGTCAGCAGTTCGATCCCAGGCTGCCTCCTGGCGGCATGCCAAATGTCCTTAGGCAAGATACTAACCCCGTGTTTGCCTACTGGTGGTGGTCAGAGGGCCCGGTGGCGCCAGTGTCCGGCAGCCTCGCCTCTGTCAGTGCGCCCCAGGGAAGCTGTGGCTACAATGTAGCTTGCCATCGCCAGTGTGTGAATGGGTGAATGACTGAATGTAGTGTAAAGCGCTTTGGGGTCCTTAGGGACTAGAAAAGCGCTATACAAATGCAGGCCATTTACCACCTAGTGTTCACTCCCTGTGAACTGCAGCAATGGACGTGATTTCCACAGACAAAGGGTCATATATTCTATTTCAGGCAAGTAAAGAAAAAGTGAGGTTTTTGATAGTTTCAGCTTAAAAATCTGAAAAACAAAAACATGGCAAAGGAACAAAAGTAGAAACTGGTTCTAGCTTTTATTTTGCATAATTTATGTGTGACAGAGCAAACTCATGCTTCCCATTGTAAATATCCATGTAATTTAGAACAAACATCTGAGGCAGAGTAGCTCCACCCATCTGCTGTTCAAACCTTCTGTTTATGAGGGGACAGCCAATCAGAACAAAGCTGGCTTAAAAGTGGAGCTTAAACAGCTTGTTTTAGATACACCTTGAACCAAGGGGCTGCATTAAGGCCCAGTATAAGACAGACTCATACAAAACTATTTCATTAGAGTCCAAGAATAAAAAGACAGCTGAGTTCAAGCTGAAAGTGGGAGAGTTGAAGATGTTAACATTTTCTATGGGAGTGACCAGGATGGAAATGGAAAGAATATAAATGAGTCGATCAGAGGTACAGCTCAGAGCTGCCAGGCAGGTGGAAAAGAACAAGACCTCAGAGGAGATTCATGGATGTAATGAAGGAGTACAGGCAGAGGGTTGACAGAGGAGGATGCTGGGATAGGGTGAGATGGAGGCAGATGGTCCACTGTGACGACCTCTAAAGAAGATTTGTACCCAACAGGGGTTTTACTAGTTTACAGTGGACCTTTGAGGGGGACGCTGTACACCTAAGCATGACTGGACTGCATTTAGTTTAGGCAAAGAGTGTATGTTACCTGGCTTTGCCGATGCCTGTGCACTTCCCATTTTACTTTTTGGTCATTTCTAAGAAAAACTTAAGCAAATTAAATCTGATTTTTCTTTGGAGGAAACCCATAACCAAAAAAGGCAGATACACAGGAAAGACCTGCCTAATAAACTGCCACCTGTGGTGTTTGAGGAAATTTCAAGTGTCAAGATTTTGTGAAATAAAGTATGCCGAATTTGCCTTTGGCACCTCTTTGTTTGTTCTGTGACTTCTGTTGTACAGATATATGTCGGGGAGGTGCTCTGACAGAGAACAAAGCTTAAAAACTAAATATTCTCAGGCAGGTTCTGCCCTGCGCCTTGGTCTACTGACTGACCAGGTGCAGGTCACAGTGCTACACACGAACCGCCTGACACTTTGCACGTCGGTGAATGGGGTCATGTGAGCTCACCTGTTGAGCAGCACCGTTAGCGCGAGCATAGACACCAGGACGAAGCAGGTGAGCGGATACTGACGGCCGGCTTCCCGCAGGACGTGCACTTTAAGCCGCCGCTTCACGTCCTCCACACACGTTAGTATTCCCGCCATCCGGTCAGAGCAGCGGCAGCTCGGACATGACCAGAAACAGCCGGGCACGGCTCGGGCCTGATCCGGACTTTCTCCCGCACAGCTTGACAGTACACGGCTGACCCTCCGGGTGTCGCGGGCATTAGCCTGAACGTAGCGCTTAGCGTCAGAGCCGTGACTCTAACAGCCACAAAACAGGCTCCGTGGCACGAGCCGAGGCTGCTGCGCACTCTGCTCCCGAACAAAATCCACTCTCTTCACTTTATAAAGTTTTCACTTCGTGGTTTCAGAATAATTTCCGACGTCTGACACACTTCCTCAACAGATGGAAAGAGTTGTAATCGCACCGCGAGTTGCCAGGTCTATGGAAAAACGTAAAAATTATCGGCACCCGCCTCTTTAAAGGCTCTCTGATGGGCGCATGACCAGCAGATAAACACGTTTCAAGCACAGTCAGCTGAAGCTGAGGGTGGGATTTTTCCACTTGATGCGTCAGTAAACAGGGATTACTATTTATTTTATTTACGTGTGTACAAAGAAGTGTCCTTTAAAGTGTAAACAATAAAGAAATATCAGATTCATCTAGTTACTTTGATTTTAGGACAGTCGGAATTTTATTTTTTGATATTAGCATTACTTATCTTTTTTTTTTAAGTTTAAATGTCAAAATTAGATAATAATACTAATAGAATATACTGATTAAGTCAGTTATATGCCAAGAAACAAAATTATTGTATATTTATTTTCTATTGAAACACTGGACTCCCAGTATTGCTTATAAATCAGTTAAACATCGAGCTGTGAATTACTTTGGGTCACGTGATTTAATCTGTATATTAGCTGAATAAAAAAAATGATTTGATTATCTTTCTTGAGTAAAGCATTTTACTGTAACTGTATGAAACCGTAACTTCTTCAGCAGACATGGCAACCCTTGACCCAAGCAACGCCACTTCCGGTAAGGCGGTTTGTTTTGATAAGTTGGGGGTTGATCATTAGAAAGCAAGTTTCTGTTCTTTAACTAGTAAATAATCTGAGATCAGGCTTTTCATAACAAGTTTATTGTGCGATAATTTAATGCTCAGGGGGACAGGACATTCTCATTTCTGATTTGAATATCCAATTTAAATCACAACTGTTTGGGTATCTACAGCAGGGGCGGATCTAGAAGGGTGGCATGGGGTTGCAAGTGCCACCCTAAAATGATCCCTTGCCACCCCAAGTGCCACCCCAGTTTTGCATATGACAGTGCTGTTTATTAAAATAAGATAGCATTAACAGTTTGAGCGTAGTTACAGTCAACAGTGAATATAAATGCTAAAACTGAAAATATTGCATAGTGTTACCCCCCTCCACCATTAACAAATGGTTCAGCCCATAGCAGGATCGGGTGTTGTGCCAAAAAGTGATTGTCTGCCAAAAACTGATTTCCAATGTTTCTGTGTATTTTTTGTGTGTGATATCTTTACGTATATTCGTAAATAGACTTCGGTGAACAGGGTTTACAAAGGGGTTATATAGAGAATTAAAAAATTATCCATTTTTCAAGTATCTTTACAACTGTGTTATTGTACTTACATTATAACCACTTAAAATATTTTTACAGAACTATTGTAATATTTGCTGCCATTTCTGCTGTGCTCTTGGCCAACTTACTCTTACAAAAGACATTTTAATGTTAATGAGATTTTTTTAAGTGCATAAATAAAGGTTATATAAAAGTCACTGCCAAAAACTGATTGCGCCTTCTACCTTGTTACACGAATGTTGTTTGTGGTTCAAGATGACTTTATGTCATCCATAAGGGATGCAATTGACATATGTTTCACATAGTATAGCCCAACAAGTTACTTATAGCAGTTTAAATACGAGCAATCAGTTTTTGGCACAACACCGGCTTTTTTCTTGTTTTCAGTAGCAAGCGATGCTTATGATTGTGCCAGAGCACATTCTGAACCACACCATGGGAATTTCGTTTTTTACACAGGTGGGTGGATGTTACACTCTGGAAATGGAAGGAAGGTGAGTGTTATTAACCCTCTGTGGTCCACGGACACGCTGCACCTCCAAATCACATGACTGATGTAAGCTGACATAGCAACAAGCTGCAGCCACGCTGAGTTTCTATTTCAGCCCACATTGAAAATTCGGACTTCAGAGTTTTTAAATTTTAACTACAGGCCAGTAAAATCCAGAGTTATGATAATATATATAAGCCATGCTTTGTTCTAAATACTGTCATCACGTTTGTGTGTGTTTTAAGCGTTTTGTAAGGACAGCCAACCGTCCAGTAAAATACAGAATCGTCCCACATTCAGAGAAAATATACTTAAACTAGAATGGAAAAAGACACAAAGCTGGGGTTTTTCTGCGTCTTTATGCTGCACAGCTGCCTCTTCTCTCATTCTCTCCCCCTCCCTCTCCTGTTACTACTTCAATCATGAAACTGATCAATGATCAGCTGATCGGCTTTTCTCTCTTGTTTATTTATCGCCCACTTTGCACCAGAAGGAGGAAACCAGCGGATGTTGCGCTAAACAACAGCAGCACGTTTAAGCTTGATCAGCTGTTGTTAGAATTTATTTAATATTCATTTCTAGTATCAGCTGATGTTTGCTGGAGCCACAGCTGTAAAGCTGCTGGTCATGATATCGGTTTGTATATGTGGTGAGAAAGAAACATGAGGATGAAACCAGGAGATGTCCTTACTGAATCATCGGAGCTGAACAGGTGATGGAGAAACAGGTTTACCTTAGGTGACATGAATGAGTTGAAGGGAAGTTATGAACTGTTTCTGAGAGACAAATAACACCAGGATCCTTTTTTATGTAGCCGACAGCTGGTAACTGTGCAGGGGCGGGTCTAGCAAAGTGTTGCCAGGGGGCCAGTTAGGGTGTTAACAGGGAAAGGGGGGCACAAAGAAGTACATTTCTTTCTTATTCTCATTTAAAATGTCTAGCTTTTATTAGATGAATCTTACAACCAAAGTTTTTATCTGACATAAAATGTATAGAAATCATACATATACCAACAAGACTGTACATCACTGTCACAACAGTGTTTGTTTTCATTCAAAGGCTTTATGGCTTTAATACCTGGTGGGTCTGTCTCGTCAAAATGCTCAGGCCGATTTTTTGTCCCAGTCCAACTCTGGGCACGACACGCAGTGAAATAATCTGAGAAGGTGCATTAAAAAAATAAATGGTCGGGCCAGCGGTGCACATCGCAAATTAGCTCGCATAGAAACAGTTGTGCTGCTTCTTAATGACGGTATCTTAGCTAACAACCCCAACTATCAGATTCAGGTTGTAATTGGCTAAAAATAAGTTTAACTGTCTTCAGAACATTGCAAATGCCTTATTGACAGTATTTGGCTCTACATATCTGTGTGAGCAGATTTTCTCTCACACGAGTCCTCAGGTAGCCGTCTGAACGCTGGACACTCGGGGACCTGTGTCTCTGAGTGGGAGACCAGAGATCACATTAACATGTGTATCTCTGTATTAACAAACATGCCATATTGGCCCAGTTTTTTCTTATCATTGTTGTGAGGAGACCATAAATAGCATTTGCATTTTCTGTTGTACAGTTCATTTGCTGTTATGGATAAAAAGTCTTTTTTGTTTCAAAATAGCTGAAAACTAGTCGCTGATAGCTGCCAACATCTGCGCACAAATATAATTGTATAAAGTGGTTCTATATAGTGTGTAACTATTGATATAGAGCATAAGTAAATTTATTGCTAATGCAATCATATGGCACACTGACTTCTGAGGAAATTTTAGATGGCACTCATCAGAAAGGTTGCCTACCCCTGCTCTTTCTTTTGAGCTTGGGTTGAGCTAAGGCATTTAATAAATGTTAAACATCACCAATATATTTCTAGGCTCTCTGAAATGTGATTATGCACTGGCAAAATTCAAAATAGAAGAAGACAGAGCCGAGTTCAAAGTCCATGGCTTTATTAGAAAAATAGGTTTACGTCACCTCGCTGTACAGTATAAAACAATTCATCTGCAAACTGCAAACACACTCGTTAGCAAAAACAAACAAAAACACATTGTTGACCCATAAAATCAAGTCTGGTCTAACATGGAAACAAACACTAATGTGGCTCTATTTTTCCCCATAGAGGAGGTGGCGGCGGCGGCAGCAGCAGCACGGCCCTCAGAGATGGGACAAAGCTCAACATGAGACCAAGCCTCTGGGCTCATGTCAAAGGTCAAAGGTCACAACACAAGGCAGAGACACAAAAATGCACTGAAAGGAGCTTAAAGGAGAAATCCAACCTCACATTGTCCTTCCAAAGGCTACAATGCAGTGACTCTGGAGCCGCCGATCTCCCAGAATTCCTCTACTTTAAAGGGACGTGTAACAGATCATTCTTTTCTTTCTACTAATCGATCAGAGTGATTGATCTCTCTGCGAGGTAGAACAAAGATGAAAGCGTCATGGTGGGGGTAACACCACCAAAACCTAGCGACCAAACCATTTACCTCCAAACAAGTTTCTAAACAAAATAATTTAATTATTCATTCATTATATTGTCATTATTAAAAGTTCTGAAATTATTCAAAATGGTCAAACTGGCGTTTATCGATGTCATAGCGGCATACATTTCAACTTTCATGCTCAGAGATCATTTCTCTCACGAGAGCAGATGTAACATAATTAAAATTTCAGCTCTAAAGAACGAGTGCGTGTTTAGAGACAAGTGTTTTTAAAAACACTGACTTATGGGTGTTTCTACAAAAGATGAAGGGGGGGAGGCATCACCCCTTTTACTAAATATTTTCCAAATATAGTATTTTAACAGAAACATCAAGCGGAAAACAAGTTACGAGTATTCCTGCAGAACCCATTTTAAAATGTTTTTAAACGATGGCCAACCCTGTAAGTAGCCTTGTTCGAGTGGCTTGACGACAAAACTGCAGTGGCCTTTTACGGCTGTTCGATATAACGATATATATCATAAGATGATATAAAAACGTCTATCGTTTCCTATTACGCTATCGTTTGTTTCGTAGTGTCCTAAAATAAAGTGTTTACAGCAATATTTTTTCATCGTTTTGATGGTCACTGTAGTGGCTATATTAATTTCTTAAAGTTCTCTCTTTCTCATATTTAATATAACCACACTACTGACGGACAAGCGTCTGTTTTTACGTGTTGTCGTTAGCAACAACGACGGTAACACCATGGCGTGGCTCCGCTGTCCGCTTGTTTGTTTTCCACGTAAACCTTTCACAATAAAGCTCAAGATCCTGTTGAGACTTTTCAAAATAAACTGAATCATGTCAAAGAGTATGCAGAGAGTTTACGGATGAGAAAAAAAAAAAAAAAAAAAAGCCGTCAGGTGCTAAAAATAAACCTTAGACTCAA